GGACACAAAGATAGTCAGAGGACTGGAACACACCTTTCCTATGAAGAGAGCCTGAGAGAGTTGAGGTTGTTCAGCTTGCAGAAGAGGAAGCTCTGTGGAGATCTTCTAGCGGCCTTCCAGTACCTAAATGGGACCTATAAGAAAACTGGAGAGGTATTTTTTATCAGTGAGTGTAGTGACAGAACAGGGGATGATTTAGATTAGATGTTAGATAGAAATTCTTCACTGCGGAGGTGATGAGGCATTAGAACACACTGCCCAGAGAAGCTGTGGATGCCCCATCACTGGAAGTGTTCAAGGCCAGATTGGATAGGGCTTGAGTGATCTGATCTACTAGGAGGTGTCCCTGCCCATGACACTGGGTTTGGAACTGTATGGTCTTTAAGGTCCCATCTAACCCAAGGCACTGTGTAATTCCATGAGTAGTTACGGCCCAAGTGACACAAGAAGTTAAAGTCCTTATTCTGCACAGGAGTTCCATCCTTTCGTCCACAATGAGATCAGTGTAGGTCTTCAGATTTTCCACAGTTGCCTTGCTGGAGTCAATTGCAGAACTTTTTGATTCCCTCCCATCAAGACTGGGGACCTTGTCAGAGCACGGGAACTCTTTCCTAGGCCAGAGGAACCTAGGCTTACTCAGACTTTTAGAACCTTGTCTCATCCCAGTGGGAATGTGGACAGCATGTGCATTTAGTCACCAAAAATATTAAATCCAAGTAGATTCCCTGATTAGATGTAGTTTTTGAGTACAGAGTATACTCCTTTAAGTCCCTAAATTACACCATTCTCAGTGGAACATCTAGCAGATTCATGTTTCTGCATTTTATATTCATTTGTTGCACTTCTAATACAAGTTTTTGAGTAACAGCTTTTAACAAATGTGCAATTAAAGACTCTGCTTGAAGAATAGTCGTGAAAAGTAAAGCATTATAGCTAAGAGCCCACGGAAAGCATCTACAATATGAACTGACTTCCATGGTCATGCACTGTCCCCTCCTAACATGCTAATCAAAGATCCTGGCAAGAGAGTCATTATTTTTCCATGACAGCTCTTAAGAGTTTTTCAACCAATCTTGACAGTGTTTCACTCCACCACAGCTGCATCTCTACTAATATATTTAACACTGTCAATCACTGTCACTTTTGAGGCCAACAGGGCTAAGAATGCCTGCTGCCATTGCTAGCAAACTTTTTTACCTCCCAGAATGGGGCAATTGCATCCAAAGAGTCTAATGGGAGATATTTATGGTTAATATTCGTTCCTGGACAGCAGCCAGGATTTCTCTGGGAAAGTGCTATTTTGAACGGGTCAAAACTATGCCAGGAACTGTTACCACAATACAGACGGCTGAGTTCCCATTGCTAAGAGTATTGCCTGATGCTATTAAACCAGTATGAGCGTAACCTATTTTAATGAGCGTAGTAAAAGTCTTGTTCCCAACTGTGTAACAAGAAACAGGACCACAGAGGAACACAAAATAAGAACACCTCAGCTTAACTAGTGCTTCCAATTAGTGCTCTTCCCTCCAACCTTATGCTTAGGGGCATTAGGAGCTCAGATTAGCAGCCTGTAAGGAGGATATCATCTTCTTACTTTGTCTAAATTTTGTATTTCCTTCTGCCTAATTATTTTTGAAGGATACCATTAGGCTGTTGTATGCAGATTAATTTTTGTTAAATTAAACTTTTCTTTCCTTAACATTGACCATTTTAGAAGACCACATTTTACTAGTATTTTTGATTAGCCTCTAAAGTTTTAGCAAGTGAGAGTGAGATGTTGCTCCACCTATTCAAATGTGAAACACCTCTAGACATTTTGATGTACTGATTTCCTTCTGGAGATAATGCTTTCCTCTCTGGAATATTAATTGAACTGTCATATCTCTGACTTCCCCCTTTCTCTGCAGCATGGCTTACACTAGACTTTGCATTATTATGGCTTTAGGATTGATATTATGAAAAATACATTTCAGACAACGCTTTGACAGTCTAGCAACTCAAGATGCTCTGCTGGGTTTCCATAGAGATGATACACTGTGAATTACCCTATGTGACTGTCTTTATTAAGTTAGTCTCCAGTCGTATTTGGGAACCTGAATCCATTTCTTTTGATAGGAAAATTTTAAAGCTGTGTAACTTCATAGAATCATAGAATCATAGAAAGGCTTGTGTTGGAAGGGACCTTAAAGATCATCTAATCCCAACACACCTGCTACAAGCAGGGTTGATCATCAAGTCCAACCTTCACAGAATCACACACAGAATCACAGAATCACAGAATCACCCGGGTTGGAAGGGACCTCAAGGATCATGTAGTTCCAACCCCCCTGCCTAGCAGGGCCACCAAACATACACATTCAGATCAGGTTGCCCAGGACCCCGTCCAACCTGGCCTTGAACACGTCCAAGGACGGGGCATCCACAACCTCCCTGGGCAGCCTGTTCCAGGGCCTAACCACTCTCCTAGTAAAGAACTTCCCCCTAACATCCAACCTAAATCTTCCCTCTTTCAACTTAAAACCATTTCCCCTAGTCCTGCTGTTATCAGCCCTTTTGAAGAGTTTACTCCCCTCCTGGGTGTAGGTTCCCTTCAGGTATTGATAGGCTGCAATGAGGTCACCCCGCAGCCTTCTCTTCTCCAGGCTGAACAAGCCCAACTCCCTCAGCCTGTCCTCATAGGGGAGGTGCTCCAGCCCCCTGATCATCTTAGTCGCCCTCCTCTGGACCCTTTCCAAAATCTCAATGTCTTTCTTGTACTGAGGGCTCCACACCTGGACACAGTACTCCAGATGGGGCCTCACAAGAGCCGAGTAGAGAGGGACAATCACCTCCCTGTCCCTGCTGGCCACCCCTCTCCTGATGGAGCCCAGGATCCCATTTGCCTTTCGAGCTGCCAGAGCGCACTGCTGGCTCATATTCAGTCTCTCGTCCATCAGGACCCCCAGGTCCTTCTCTGCCGAGCTGCTCTCAAGGACCGCTCCTCCCAGCCTGTACAGGTGCCTGGGGTTCTTCCGGCCCAAATGCAAAACCTTGCACTTTGCCGTGTTGAACCTCATCAGGTTCACCCGAGCCCAGCCCTCCAGCCTGTCGAGGTCCCTCTGAATGGCATCCCTTCCTTCCACCGTATCAACCGCACCACTCAGCTTGGTGTCGTCAGCAAACTTGCTGAGGGTGCACTCAATTCCCTCATCGATGTCATTAATAAAGATGTTAAAGAGCACCAGTCATGTGATGCAGTAGGATCTTTTCAGTACACAAAGGCAGAACACATTCTTGCTGCAATACTCAATTTGCTTCCACTTTAGTAATCATCTTTTCTAATACTGAAACTGAGTTCGCTCTACATGTGTAAGCGTACTGATCTGGAAAGGGCAATGTCTTTTGCTCTCCATTTCCTTTTTATGCAATTACTGAGAACTTCCACATACCCCCAGGTCATTTTTTTTGCCATCCACAAGGAATTAGGACATCCAACTATACCCCCAAGTGGCCAGGTACTTCTTTTCAGAGCTACAACCTTCTCATTGTCCAGGTTTTCTCTAGGAGTTGCTAGTCTTTCTAGCATAGAAATAAATTGATATTTTATTATAGGTAGAGAGATATAAAGTCTGCAATTTAAAGCTTCAATTTCCCCATATTCCGTGTAACCTCATCACTCTACCACTTACCTTACTTGGAAAAAAAAAAGTGTCTTGTTAAATCTTGAGTAAGAGGAGACTGTTAATTCATTTAACTCTGATGTAGAGGTGCTTTGTAGATCAGGGAATTTTGGGTTTCACTTGGTTCTTTCTGTATTCTGTCTTGGTTGAGATCTATCATAACTTGCCAGGTAGTGAAGGAGAGGGAGTGAACTGTGAATGGTGAAATTCTGAAAGCATGGCTTGCCACAGCTTGAGCAAGCACTCTGTACTTACATAGGTAACATGTTTTTATATCTATAGAGTAGAGAACAGCTACAGAAGAACTTGTGGGCTATTTTGCTTTTTCTGCACTTCTCTTCAATATACCCTCTGACCAGCAGTCTGTTTCTGCAGTTAGTCATTGTCACTGTTTGACAGACAAGGCTTTTTCTCCAAGGTTAAATAGATGTCTTTGCTATTGGCATCTTCTTCCCCACAGAGTTAGTTGGCTGCCCTGTTAGTAAAGTAAATTCTTGTGTTGAATCCTCCTTGAACTACCTTAACGCTTTCCAAAGATGTATACAGAAATAAAATTGGCTCTTTCCTCTCACTCTGTTCTTTTGATTGAACAGAAACTTCAGTAGATGTGCCTGGGTCTACAGGTTAAGAAACTGATTTCAGATCATGTCGCCACAACTCCTGCTTTTAGCATTTATGTTGTTCCTTGTGACTTTGTTTGACTCTGTTGGTCGAATCTGTGAGATAGCAGGTGATATCTTGAAAATATGGCTTATAAAGGATGCAATTGTAAAAAAAAATTGCCCTTGCCAGAATAAGAAATTATAATGTTGTGCAGTATTTTTTAACTAAAGATACATTTGTGTTTATTTTACAAAATTGCTCAAAGTCTTTCTACTAGATTAATTAATCTGTTGTAAGGGTGTATTTTATTAACAATGAAGGAAAATGGCCTAAAATAATATTTTAAATTACTTATCTGAGATTGAGGGATTTGGTAGAAAGGTTAGCAACTATTCAGTGAAGCAGTTGTGTTCTGATGAAGTCCAATGGTTTGTGTGTCTGTATTTTAGGAGCTTTGCCATGCTGAAAGAAAGCATAACCTCTATGGACCCCAAATATGCAAATGACAGTAACTATTTGCTTAAAAATCTCTGCAGCCAATGTTTTATCCACTATATAGGTTCTGTTTCTCTGTCCCGTTTTATTCTGTCTGTCCCTGTAGCCTTTTGTTCCACTTGTGATATTTTTCAGTAATCACATGATGAAATGTCTAGGCTAGATTCTGAGGGTGGTATAAAAATGCTGTATTTATTCTTATGGAAGCACTAACAATTCTATTTGGATTGGATTTCTTTGTAGCAAAACCGATGAATTATTGAACAGATTGGACTCGGGTTTGCCAAAGAATGATTCCTGTCAGACTGCTAATTGTGGCCCAGAATCAACAGCATGGGTAAGCAAAACCATGGAATGTGCAATATTTTTCTGTCAACTTTCCAGGTGCTGTCAATAGTGTGATATTAGAATATTCTAATTGAGTTTAATTGCCTATACATAACTCAGCGAATACCAAGGAGTCTTTCTGGGTGAACTGCCTGTGTTGTCTGTGATATACTGGCAGAGTATCTGACATAGTAGGATACTGCCTTTATTACTTGCAGTTCCCCTCCTGATAAATATGAGCCAGATTTATATTCTGTGTTCAGATCAGAATCTTAAATGTGCTGTGTACCCATCAGTTGGAGGCAAGCTTTTATGGAATCCCAACTAGTACCTGTCAGCAGATGCTTTGCTGCATTGAAAATCTAGTCAGAAGAGAAGCTTATTTCTCACTGCATCCTAAAAGTGATTTTGTAGACTGCTTGGGGACTTTGTCCCAGTTTGAATGAGCCTCTTAAGTATCAATGTAATTAGGGAATAGATAAAGTATTGCAAAAGTTTCATTATTCTAATTGCCTCAAAAAGCCTTTTGCACTTCTGATTATTCTCTCCATGTCTAACCAAGCATTCCTACTGATATGAAAACTTAGACTGAGGAATATCAACCCTGAAGACAGAAATCTCCCCTTTGTAACTTGGGGATGACAATGTAGGCAGAAATTATTGTTATGAACAACAGTCCTGAGTCAGCAGAAAACTGGAAACATCTAATCTGGGTGACAGATACAACCTTGAACACCAACAGCTGAGTAAGAAAATTAAAAATTTTCCTGTATATTTCCTCAGAAGCCTTGGAAATGTGCAAGACCCTCCTTACGAGAAATTGCTCTGAACAGAATATATGACAGTCCTGTCTTGCCCCTAGTATCTCTTTCTGATTTTCAATTGCTTGAAAAGGGAAGGCGTTACTGAAAGAAGGTTGCTTTCCCCTTTGATTCCTCGGGTCACTTTTTGTCTCTTATAAGCATGAAGAAATCTTAACATGTGAGCAGTGTTATAACTTTAAGAAGACAACTTCTTTCCAGCAGTGCTGTGTCTGCTAGATTTAATTGTAACACAGTGCCTTTCAGGCTATGTTTTGTAGTCCTGAGTAGACAAGCAATACAGGGGACTATGGGAAGGAAGAAAAGGTGTATTGAAACAGTCTGTACATGCCTCTGAAGCATGCTATGCTCTGGATGGTGAGGAGCTCAGTCTTTGATAGAGAAGATCAGGCTCAACAGACTTCTGTATGCTGTGAGCAGGGAACTATGAACGTAAGCGAGCTCATAGCCCCAGTATTGACTTGGATTTCAACATTTTGGTGAGATGTCTGTGTGTAGGTGGGTGGATACCTAAGGTAACACTGAATTCTCTCAGGTAGTCCTACCTTTAACCTTTGCCATTTATTTCACTTACATCCGTGTCTCTTTCTCACTGCAGTTTTGGAGGAGTTTCTTAATAAATTATGCCAAATTATTTAAGTTCAACTTTTGCTTAGCCAGTATCCAAGCAGATAGGATACATAGTATTTCTATACTGTTCTTTATTAATACCAGCTTATATTATGCACATGTGATCCTGTGGAAGATACGCCTGGTCTTTTCCAACCTTAGTGATGTCATGATTCTATCATTCTGTGACAAGGGAGAATGGTTTTAAAATCAAAGAGGGGAGATTTAGATTAGATATTGGGGAAATTTTTCACTGAGAGGGTGGTGAGGTACTGGAACAGTTTGTCCAGGGATGCTGTGGATGCTTCATCCCTGAAGGCATTCAGAGCCAGGTTGGATTGGGCCCTAGGCAGCCTGATCTAGTGCCTGATTTTATGGCTGGCAACCTTACCCATGGCAAAGGGTTGTAAGAGGTTGGAAATAGATCATCTTTAAGATCCCTTCCAATTCAAGCCATTCTATGATTCTATGTCTTTTTTTGCAGCAGTCTTTCTAGAGCTCTGTGAATCAATTTATCATTTGCATATAATGCATTTAGTAAGAAGTCTTCTTAACCAACTTGGATGAGATGCAGACTATATATAGGCATACGCAGAACCTCTGTGCTCTTTGTAAAGAATCTGAAGCACATAACCAATAAATTGTTATCTAAATGAACTTGGCATAGTATCAAAAGGCTAAACCTCCAGGGAGTCTTGTACTCTTAATTTTGATGTTATCTTTTATTTTTCCTTTGTCTAGAGTAACTAAACCATTCTGGAACAATATATTTGAAACAGGGAAGTGTGATAAGACTGGGAAGTGCATGATAAGAATGTTAAGGAGCAGGGGGTTTATGCATATTCATATAGGTTTTTTTATTATTTAAAGTTAATGCACTAAAACAAATCTGAGACAATGTTATGTTGATTGAATTCTTTTTCCCTTGCAGGACTTGTTTGTTAATGATACTAATTCAGTACATCTAGTTCAAATAGCAGTGTCAAACATTACTTGATGCATGTGAACAAATTTGACTTTTTTGGGGTGACTCTGTCATTGGTGACTTTTTTGGCCCACTTAATTAATTAAGCTCATAATTAATTTTAATCCTGTCTTCAAAGTGTTACCAGTCCGGTATAGAGTCTTATTGTCTTTCAGCTTGATTAACATACACTCCACACAATTCTCCAAGCCGTTAGAGAGAGTAATGAATAATATTGGACCCAGAATGAGTCTCCCTGGACACATGTAACAACTCCTCCCAGCTCAAAATTGAGCTATTAATAATTGCTTTCTCTATTCAGTCTTTTTAGCAAATTATGTGCCTGTCGTTTTAATGGTGTCATTCTGCACACATATATCAAGTTTCAAGAACACTGTGTAGACCTGCAACAAATTCTTCACTAAAGTCAAACCTGCACATTTCTTGTTTTAAATTATATTGGCTCATTATTTAGTGTGCTATGCTCTGTACCTGCTTGAGGACTTTACAGTATAAGTTCCTAAGGATCCTATAAAATCCTAATGGTATGCTGGCCCTTTGAAGACAACTGTAACTTGTAAAAGACCAGAGCTAGTTACTGTAATGGAAACAGGTGAATACTTTCATTGTGATGTCTAGTTTCAGATTTTCTCTTGCCTGACTCCCAACTAAGAAAGCAGTCCTCATCTCTGAGCTTCTCTTGCCCTACCACCACACATTCCTTTCCAATATTTATATGGAAACAATCATAGAATCACAGAATTCTTAAGGTTGGAAAGGACCTCCAAGATCATCTACTCCAGCCATCAACCCATCACTACCATGTCCACTAAACTTTGATCCTCAGTGCAGCATCTACTTGAAAATCTCCAGGAGAGGTGACTCTACCACCTCCCTGTTCTAAAACATTACCACTCTTTCTGAGAAGGAATTTTTCCTACTCCAACCTGAACCTCTACTAGTGTTTCCCTCTGCTACCAGGCCTCCCTTCTGTTTTGTTATATTAGTAATGCTTCCAGTGCTTTTCTGTCTTCCCACAACATCCCATCTCACTGTCTTATATCCTGATTGCATTTTTCAGTTACTCAGAATATCTTTATGTATGCCACTGGAACAAGCAATAAAATGTGCTGTGGCTGCTTAGTTGTAATGTGCAGGTGAACATTCAGCTAAATGGAATGCCTGAAAAGTTTTAAGCCACTCCTTGGTTAAACACTAGTCTTCAAACTCATCAGTTTTTTTAATAACTGTAATCCTTCGAACAGTTCTGATTTGTTAATTACTTGTAAGTAGAATTGAGAATGAGGTTTGGCATGTTGATCCTCCCTCTACCCACACCAGTATGTCTATGTTTTCTATTGAACAACAGGCTAGAAGCCGTATATATAAGCGAGCTCTTCGAGAGGATGAAAACAGAAGATTGGAGGAAATGAAGCAAGAACAACAGAGGAAGGTAATTATACATCAACAGTTTACATATTGTGTCATTTTTGCATGCTGTGCGATCAAGTAAATGCACTGATTACTTGTAGACTATGCACAGGGCTTCTCTTTAGGGAAAATGATGTAGTCACTGTTTTCAAATGTTGTGAGAGAGATGAGCCAAGTTGTAAAATTTGGACAGACAGAAGTATCTTCTGGGTTCATGGCTATTTGCATCTGGATGGCTAGCTCCTGCTTGCCTCTCCATTTGAACAGTTGCGCAAAGCATTTTTTTTGGATTGTGGTGACCAAAATTTCATAGTCTAAGGCAACCAGTCTTTCAGGTGGAGGTAACCTTACTGATACATTCACGATCTCAGATTCTGAATATATTCTTTATAGAGAAACAGTCTGTGTGCCCTGCTGTCTCAAACAAGTATGTGGAAGAACTCAGATTTGCTATCGAGTCTGTACTCTTCTATGTTCCTTTGCTAACCACATAAATGAAGGGTTTTTATTTGTCCAATTGTACTGTAATTACAACTCCATCTTCTGCATAGGCAACATGCATTGCCTGTAAGGCACGTCAACCACTGCCATCCCTCTGGCATAGTTTTGGGTACTAGATCTATGTAAAGATAATCTACACAAAGCATAGTTATTACACTGCAGTAAGTTCTTTACCTAGGTCTAACTGTGCAAATGTGCAGAAGGCAGCATTAACTACAGATCATTTAAAAATATATTAGCAAATAGAATCATAGAATGGTCTAGTTTGGAAGGAACCTCACCAAGGTTCTTGGATTCTATGATTTTTGGGGGTCTCTTCCAACACAAACCATTCTATGATTCTGTTCACTAATATACTCCCAACCATGGGCAGGGACACTTCCCATGAGATCAGGTTCTTTATTTAGCTTGGTTCGAGGGTATTGCGTAGAGCTTTAGATGTCATACTGATTTCTGTAGGACAGCAAGAAAATGTGGACTGCTTCTAGGGCTGCTCTGTCTTGGTACACAGCACCATGTGCTCCTTGCATTCAGCATTGCTGCTACATCCTGCACAGAGTGATGCACTGTGTATAAACCCACTGTAAATAATATGTATTTTAAAGGCTCCAGTAATTGTCCCTCCAATTTATGTTGGCTTATTTCTACTTCAAACTAATATTTATTAAAGTAATTGTGAATTCTGTCCTGTGTGCAAGCTCCTAGTATAGCACAGCTATAAAATGTATAGGTATTGTCAGTTGCTTTTTTTTTTTCTCTCTTCAGAACAGGTTTTAGTATGTATTGCTTGATTTAAAAATACTCAGTACACTTTGAACACAGCATCATATACACGCAGTGTATTTCAGAACATTACTCCAAGAGAGGACTCAGCGTATTGGAAAGTCAGATACTGGGTTTTAATTTTCAGGTTGAATAGTTATTTAAAACAGTGAAAATAAAGGTTGGCTTTTTTATTTCTTAATCCTGTTTCTTCTTTTAGGGCTAGACAAATATTGATACACAACACATTCACAGTTATTGATTTTCTTCATACATTTATTGCATAGTTTTTATTTAATGTTCCATTTAAATTGATTTTTTTTTTTTTTTTTTTTTTACATTTGTAGTTCCATTCTGTTACTGAAGCTTTTATCTAACCACTTCATTTTGTTTTACTTCCTATTCCTACTGGTACTCAGTTTTTATGGAAAATATGAAGTATGAGTCTGTTCCCATCCGTCCCCTCTTTGCCCTACAAGCCAAATTCTTTGCAGAAAAAATCTTCATCTTCAGTCCTTGAGCACATTACAGGGATCAAGAGGCAGACAAACAAGGAAACAGGCAGTGTTTCCTTAGCAGGTCTAGCTAGAATTGTATAAGCAAACTCTGCTCTTCAGAGAAGTCCCTTTGAGACTGTTTATGTACCTTAAAACTATATAATGTAGGGACTGTAGGCTTCAACACTAGGGCTTGCACATGCTTTCACCACACCAGTAGGTACTGTTTGTCCTTTCCTCACTATCATAGAATCACAGAATCATAGAATCACAAGGTTGGAAACGACCTTCAAGATCATCTGGTCCAACCATCCTCCCATCACCATTGCTACCACAAGCACTAAATCAAATCTCACAGCTCCTCATCCAGGCGCCTCTTGAACACTGCCAGGGACGGCGACTCCACCACCTCCCTGGGCAGCCATTCCAGTGCCTGACCACTCTCTGAGAAAAAAAGCCCTTCCTCACATCTAATCTAAACCTCCTCTGGCACAACTTGCGGCCATTTCCTCAGGTCCTGTTTGTTACCTGGGAGAAGATGCCAAACCCCTCCTCATCACAACCTCCTTTCAGGAAGTTGTAGAATGCAATGAGGTCTCCTCTGAGCCTCCTTTATTCTCCAGACTAGGAGACTGAAGGGACTAGGAAGTTTCTTCACAATACTTTGGAGGGCAGAGGAGCTATGGGCATGCTATTGTTTGGGCAGGGTGCTGCATGCCTCTGCCTTGCTCTGCGTTGACAGATGGAGCTGATGTGTACTGGCTGTGCAGAGGAACTGTTTATCTGGAAGAAGGGGGACTTTGCTAGAGGGACAGAGCTTGCATGCAGGCTGGTGTACTCAAATGTTGGACTGGAGCTGTCTGAATTCACATATCTAATCCTATGCAGTGCTGTACAGAAAAATGAGGTCTTTTCTGAGCTCAGTGCTGCCACATAAGCAAATAAAATGCTACTGGATAAAGTTGCAGAAATGACATGTGGCTCTAGTTGACATTAACTCCATGTGGAATTAGTTGGATTTTCAACATTGCCATGTTAACTAAAAATAAGTTTTGGGGTTTGTTTGTTTGTTTGTTTGTTTGTTTTTCTCTTTTGTCATCCCCAGGCTCAATTAATGGAATCAAAACAAAAGCAGAAGGAAGAAGCCAGGATAAGAGCACATCAAGATGAACAGAGAAGGTATGATGCAAAATCTCAGAATATACATTACTTTACTTTCTATCTGGAATGAGACTCAAAATTGCAAGCATTCATGCTTAAGAAGACTATTGCATTGAAGATCCCTGTTATAGCCTCTGGTTTAACTTTGTCTTCAGATAAACCACTAATATCCACCATTACAGCTGCTCACAGTAATGTGTGCCCCAGAGTGCCTCTTTCACTTTTATTTATCAGCACAGGGTACAGCACAGGGTAGGAACTATTAGCGAATTCAAGACAATTTAAAGACAGCTGGAGAAAAATATGTGTAAAATATTATGTGCAGCTATTCATTCAACTGGTCTGCTCTTCTCCTTCTGTCTGGATCGCAGTCTCCAACTAAGAATACTGCTGGGAACTCTACCTGTTCTCCCAGTCCCTTCAACATCTTCACAAGGAATGCAAAGTCTTTTAAAATATTTTATAATTTCCTAATTGCAGCTTCCTGTGACCTGCCTTGAAAGAGCACAGTCAGATGGTAGTCTTCCAGCTTTATCATACTTGGTAGCCTCTTCCTGATGTCCTGAATGTGAGCCCCGAAGGCAGTACAAGAAAATGCTAGAGGTGCTTTCTGACAGCTTGGCTATATTAGTAACAAGCTTAAGTGGTTGTTTCATTAGGGAATCACTACTTACAGAAACTTGTTTAATGAAGGCTGAAAGACTACCTAGGGTGATCAAGTGAGTGGTATGCAGGATGACTTTTTACTCCATTTTTCATAGCAATAGATGTATGCTTTTTAATCATCATGGATTGATCACAGGATAAGAATGCACCTGGTGAACTGAAAATGGAAGGCATCCTATCTCATGACAGGCTGTGGTTGTTCAGCACAGGCTTGAAAAGTATAGAATGATGTATATTTAACTGAGAATAGGGAAAGCACTTTAGAGAATGCTACATTTCAAAAGTTTGTGAGCTCCTCAGCTACCTTCAATCGCTGTTCATTTTTCTTTCTACTTCAAGAGTAAATAATGCTTTTCTGGACCGACTTCAGAAGAAAACACAATCTAATAACATCAGCCAACCTGGATATTCTGGGAGTCTGGACTACTGCAGTGATGGTGCCTGGGTAAGTTTTTTGAGTACAGAGCACTAAAGCAATATGATTGTTTAAAAATTGACTTTTTTCCATATACTGTTATGTGTCTGTGCACAGTTAGCCTGCATGACAGTCCAGGTTGGCTGCCAGCTACAGCAGCTTTCAAAAAGAAATCCTGTCTTAAATATAATCTGTTCAAATGGGAAGAGGAAGTAACAGCTGTTCTTGCAGCAGAGTTTGGTTGCTTTTCATGGAAGGTAGTACAAGGATCCAAATCCAACATACTTCCTGAAGTTCAGAACAAGAGTAGTGAAATTGTATGGTTTTTTTTGTAACATCTTTAAATGAGATCTATAAATTCATATTAACATGTTTGGAAAGGCTGTAAACATTTTAATATGATATTGAAAATGGAGGTGGAAAATGCCATGAGAAGTATAGCTGTTCATTCCTTCCTGAATAACCCTATGGCAAGGAAGGAAGACCTGACCATACCCAGTTTAAGTAGGTCGCTCTGAAAGTAATACCTCCTATTTATTTCCATGGAATATACAACAGATACAAAGAGCACAATAGCACTACTTGATAGAGCAAATTCTCAGCTACAAAACACTGTTTTTTCAACACAGTCACCACCATAGCTGTGCATTTTCACCAGCAACGAACAAGAGCCTGCATACTGTGCTTGTAAAACTCAGCACCACTGGAGATGACCCACTGTTTCATAGTTGCTTTGATGATGTTGTTGCTAGGAAAATGTTGCCCCTGCAGGTCATCTCTCATCAGCTCAAACAGATGGAAATCAGAAGGCACAAATCCAGACTATGCAGTGGGTGTAGTGGTACAGTCCAGCCAAGATTGGCAACGATCTTCAAAATGATATGGGACCTGGCATTACTGTGTTGCAAGAGAAAGGTTGTTTTCTTTGTTCTGACTCTGGAAGTTTGAGCCTTCATCTTAGTCAGCGTTGTGATGTAACGGTCAGAGTTCATGCAGTTATTTCCATTATGGAAATTTCTATTGGGATGAAATTCCATTGCTGAGAGGACAAAAGTGTAGAAATTAAAAATTGCAAAGACTGAGTAGCAAAATGATACAAGTCTAAATAAATTTAGTGAATATGGCTTTACAGAGGAAACTGCCTAGCTTGAGATGGACTGTTCAGTGTGGATTTGTTTCTTGGAAGATGAATGCTACAAAACCTTGGTTTCAAGCATCTACAAAGTCAAAGCATGACAGAGAAGCAGATAGTTTTGCTCCTAGAGGTTTCCAGATACTGAAACTGGAAAAGGAGCCTCTTATTCACTAAAAGCTATGGGCAAGCTTGGTGGAGGGCTCAGAAACCTCAGACTGAAGCCAGAACTGTGCAGAGCAATTCTCTTGGTCTTGCTGAGAGTGGACAGGATCTGTCAGCTCAGTCTCCCATTGTGTCTGATGGTAGTTGCTGGAAGAACCAGTTGTCTAGGGTCTTGGCTCTTGCTGGAAAACTGAACCATAGATATCCAGGCATAGTAAAAGAGTGTGAATAAGAGAGAACTCTATATAGCAGGCCTGAGTGATTTTTTTGAAAATAGCAGTGTTAGACTTCAGGTAGGACAGAAGCAAATAATGCCTAGAAAGGGGCAAAAGGTAAAGTCTGCTGGATGGTGCCTGCTTAGCCAAGGGTGGAAATAGTTCTTTTTACTTTACTTTGTATCCTTTATCACAATTTGTAAACTGTTGCCTGGTAAAATAAAGTCTGTAACAGCCAACGGCTCCAATCTCTGAACTCCACCATCTCCATCCATCCACTGTCCCTACTGAAAGCTTCTCTGGGTGTAGAAGGAATGAGGTTGTACCTTTAGTGCTTTACCACATGTGCTATTCCCCAAGATGCGTGGCAGTACCACTGCACTAGTGCACTCAGCCCAGGCACAGTTTTAATAGCAGACAGCTCCGAAAAGTCTACAACCAATCTTTTTTTTTTTTCTTTTGAATGTGTTTTAATATGTATGCATCAACATAATTACAACAAATCCCTATATGAAGAAGTAATAGATTTCCTACTCTGCGTGTTTACTGAATAGTTCTCAAGGAACCTGCCTTATGTTGGGTAGCGCTTAGATTATGTGTTTTTCATATATACCTCACTATGAAATGTTCAGAAGACTGAACAAAGTACGGAAAGAATAAAGTACTTAAGAAGATGCCATAAAGGAGAAGAATTAAAATAAGTATTGGTAACAAGAGCAAGAATCTCTTTTAGACAGGCTGGAGGCTGCAACCTCAGTGTCTTTGATTATATCCAGGCTCTTCTCCCTTCCCTTGGGATTTTAAGCAAAAAGAGCTGAACTCCAAAGGTGCCTTACAAATCGTTGCCTGAAACATGGTGTTTTGCATTACAAAAGAGCTAACTGAAGCAGTTCAGATTATAAACTAAGATGAAAAGAAAAGAAAAAGGTTCCCAAAGTTAAGACCTGCAGGTAAGTTTTGAGCCTGCTCCTTCTTTGTAGTGGCACCTAAGAGGAAATATTTGTTCTTTCCTGCTTCTTTTTTCCTGACTGAGCTCTTCACAGTCACAAAAGCTTACAGAAACTGAATGTTGTACAAATGTTGATGTAACTGCTATATTTTTCATTATTACTTCTATTAGCCTGGTTTCCTATGGAAATGGCTTTTTTGTGATCACTCTGTATACATGTAGTTAGGTCTCCAACCTGCTGGCCAATCTTGACTGAATTTGAAAAGAGTGTAAAAGTCTCACAGATAATTCAGTTTATTTGCATTTTGTGAAAAACAGTGGCTGGTTGTAGCAGTGTTTGAACAGTGGATATCAGGACTGGCGTGGAAAGAGAGGAGAGGGTAAATTTATTGTTGTATGTTTGTCCAGGAGAGAAGAGAGCAGTTGCTGTGCCCCGTTGCTTGCTAGTTGTTAACAAACTAATTTTCGTTATTCCTCTGCCTTCCAGACAGATTTTGTTTTATTAGGAATATTTTGATGTTGTTATTTCACGAAGTATTTTCATGAAAGTAGTCTTTTCTCACCTTTTAGTTATAAATATCAAGGTGCTCTCCGGGTGGTTGTGTGTTTTGCTTTTTTAATGAGAAGCCAAATTAATGTTTCCACTTCTTTGTGTTGAGCTACTGCACCTTTGGGAAAGTCTTGAGTCTTCCTGTATGCTATCAGGAGAATATTGATGTCTTTTGTGCAGCCATTGACTCTAACATAAGTATAAACCTTTTAGGATAGGAGAGGAAAAGATAATGTTTGTCATTTCAACATCAAAGTTTAATCAATAAGATTGAGTCCTTACTCAGCTGGGGCATATAACTGAGGCAATACCTGTTCACTGTGGTGGCATAAATGAACAGTTTTACTTAAATATGAAAACACTTCTATTTTTACAAAAGAATAACTAAAACAGTGACATGTTTTTATATTTACTCCCTTGAGATTTTTCCTTGCTCGAGCACTGCGGCATTTGCAGAGGCCAAGTGCTAATGCATGGCAGGTCTGTAACAGAGCCCTTGTTTGTTTTTTGAGTAGAAAGTGAGCAATGTGAAGGACTCTTTTGTCTACTCTGTTAATGGAGATAGTTCACATGGTGAGTAGATGAAATTTATGTGCCTGCTCTTCTTTAATGAAGTACTGGATGTCATGCTGGAACTCTCTAAGCTCTAGTAAACTCAGAATCTAGAAGACAACGTGACATATTGCACATTCCCGTTCCATGTCTCTTATAAACCCCATGTCAGGCATATGAGTGAGAAATGCTCTCTCACATGCTGACTCTACTCCTTTAGTTGATACATTAATATAGATATTTAGAAGGGGAAACAACTGTGGCCTGAATACATAGGTGCAGGGGAACGGGTCATTCTCTTCCTTTCCCTTACAGAGAACAGAAATTCAGTGGATGCTGGACAGAAATAACACAGCTTGAATATACAACTGTTTTAAATGAACAAGGCTTGTGCAATAGCACTTGTTTTGTTTCTTCCAACATGCTCCATGGAAGCATCACTCTAGAGTGTCAAGATTTATGGTATTTGCTACCAATCTGAGAGCTGTTGTTGTGGGGGTTTCACACCAGTGGGCAACTCAGATTTGCCAAACTACTCTCTCACTCCCCCTCTGCAAAAGAACAGGGGGAGAAAATATGGTGAAAAAAGACACAAGGGTTGAGATAAGGAGAATATTTGCCAATTACTAGAATGGGCAAAACAAACTCAACATATGGAGATAAATGTAATTACTACCTATTGCCAGCAGGCTTGCCATCCACAATGATTAAATATCTTTTTGCAAAGAAAAGTTTGCTAATTTAGCTTTAGCCTGGTTAGTCTATATGCAGTATGCTTTAGAAAGATAATTTGAGTTTTCTCCTAAAACTGTTTTTTGTTGTGATAGTTGTTGAGATCTTTCCAAGCAGAATGATGAAGGAAAATAAAAAACTGCTCAGCAGAAGCATTAGCTGAGGGACCTAAGATGAGTAAGTCCAGGTAGATGAGTTAATGACCTGCCTCTGACAAAGCAGTCAATCAGCATAATCAGATGTGTTCTGTCTGGCTCGACTTTGAGCTCAATCATTCTTTCTTTTGAAAATTTCATCCTGAAAGAGATTATTGGGAGTCTAGGGAGGAGCAAAAGAAACTTCTCGCTCTTTCAAATTGTGTGAGACTGAGAAAGGATAAAGGCATCTAAGATACTTAGAACACTTTTAGATTGACTTGTTTAAGCAAAACCAAGCTTATCTTCCAAGTCAGTACATCCCACTATTCATATGTAGTTCAAATCAAATAAATATTTATTACTGGAACTGGGATCTTCTTAGATAAGAACTTACACTATATTTCAAATAGAGTTTTAAAAGACAGCAAAGGATACCAAGTAATCATGAAAGACCCACGTAACCTTAGTTCCTAACATAAGTGTCTCATTCTACTATACTGTACTAATGCATTTTTATTCATCTAGGGGTCAAACTACTTGGAATAAAGGATTAATGTTGCCAGAAGGTAAGAATACAAGATTTGTTAGTTGTCAGTACTAATGCTGGTATTAATTTAGATTCATATTTGCTGTTTCATTGTGACGGCTTTTGTAGTTTAATTCTCAAGTATTATGAGATGGCATCTTAAAATAATGGCTTTCCAACTGTGTGCATGGAGCTATGCAATGGTGCATACCAAATCTGAAACTTGTTCTTTCATAAAGAACTGCAGGACATGTATTTCAAGTCAAAGGAAGCACTGATGCCATTGAAAGTGTTTGCTCAGGATATGGTGATATTTAGTGCCAAAACCTCAATAAAGTCACATTCTCTGTGTTGTAGACTGTGAGTGGATAGAACTCAGCAGCTGAGGAATATGGTTGGAAATGCAGAAGGTGATTCTGCAACATAATTATGATTGTAAGTGAAAGACAATGAAAGGGAAAGGCTTTGTTTTGGGCTACTTCTTCCTGCTGTTTCCCATGCATGAAAATGGAGATTGTTAGTATCAATAAAGGCTGTCAGTGAAACACCAGTATTGCATCAAAGAAATGACCTTTACACAAACCTCAGTGCATGTATGTACTTTTCTGAAAGGGGTTCCATACCCTTATTCCCAGTTCTGATTTAAAGACTTGTGCAAAGCCTTCACTTGTAGTCTTGAGGACTTCTTAGGCAAGGTACTGGCATATGGCACTCGAATTGCCTTTGAACTTTGTTTGAAAGCTAGAACTTTGAAAGAGGAATTAAAAAATGAAATACTTTTCAAAACCACTTGCTTTTAGCCCTTCTTAAACGTGGAGGTTGGTGGCCCTGCATGTGGCAGGGGGGTTGGAGATTCATGATCCTTGAGGTCCCTTCCAACCCTGGCCATTCTGTGATTCTGTGATTCTTCTGTGAAAGGACTGTTCTTAATTTCCTGTACAATTTCTTCCTCATTTTCCACTCCAACACTATTTTAGTTAGTGTTTTCATAGCAGGATTGTATCCTAAAAATAGTATCTAAATAATGCAATTGGCTTCACGAGTCATCTTTTCAGTTTTATGAGGAGTAAAATTGTTATTAAAAAGTAACTTAAATTCACCATGGAAATTACAATCAATAGATAAATTCAGTTCCCCACAGGGGAAAAAATGACCGTCTCAGGCAGCCCACAATACTGTTAGGTTTTGGAAACTGTGGACAGCTGAAGGAGTCAGACATATTGAGGTCTTTGTTGTTTTACACAATATCTACAGTACCAATTATATATTTACATATGCAGTGTATAAGAATTATGGACGGATGTACTTATTAAATCTTTATTTTAACGTTTTGAAAACACATTTCAGCTTGCTACGTTAATATGTTGCTCAAAGAGTTATTAATATGTCTGCAGATAATTGGGATGTTTTGTGAATTTAATTTACAAAAAGGTAGAAATCCTTTCATGAGTGCTTTACAGAATTAAAAGCTAAAACCTGTCAGAAAAAAAAAAAATGGAGACTTTATTTTCCAGTGGACTTAATCCTAGGCTAGTATGACTTTGATTTTTTTGGTTTTGCTGCAAAAGATAATTTTTAATTCTGTTTTCTTCCTCTTGTTACAGAATACTAGAGAAATATTCTCTTTTATCTGGCTTTGGCCAAATGACCTTATAAAAGCTCCAAGAAAGCCCTCTTTTATCCATGTGATTTTTTTCCTAGCCTGATTGCATCTTCACACCCACTTCGTGAGTAATCTGCAGAGACTGGTTTCTAGCTGTCATTATTCACACATATTTGAGGCAACTGGTTATGAAATTCCTAATTAATTTTTAATAAGTGAATGTGTCTTTTTTTTTTTTTCCTTCTTAAATTGTTTTGCCTTTTGCAGAATGTAATTATGCTAGCCTTTAGGATCTCACAAAAAGAAGATGTTGCAGAAGCTGCAGAAATATCTGTGTTTACTTTTTTACTGTGCCCAGCCTCAAATTTCCAGTGACTTGAACAGCAAAAAAAATAATAGTGCTCTCTTGTGGGAGCAAAGTGCTGCTGCTTTTTCGTTGATGTTGCTTTTTGTGTTTTGGGGGTTTTGTGGGACTTTTTAATGTATGTTAAACAGTAGAGAGTCAAGGAGAAGCATGTGTGTGTATTATAGATGGGCTATTTTGAAAATATGTTTAGAAAAGTACAACATTAAAGAAATAAAACTTTAATACTGGAAACTTTTACACTGCATTCAATCTTTTACGCATCATTTTTTCACTTTCCCTATTTTACCTTGTTAACTTCTGTTACACGAATGGGGAGAAGTATTACAATCTCTAGTTATCTCTAGTTTCTTACTCTTCTTTTCTCTCTAGTCTAATGGAACTTTATTTCCATATTCTTGTTTTTGCAAACAGCAACATTTTAATGTTTTCTGAAAGTCAGACTCACGACCTAGATAGTCCTGATGAAAAAGAAGGATCCACAGTGTGTTAGATGGGCCATGCAGACAAGAAGCATCCACTGCATTTACAAGTACATTTTATGCAAAATTAAAAGTTTCCCAAGCAATATTTTTTTTCAGTATTCAGGCATGCCACACACACTGGTTTTCCATAGCCCTTGCAACATGGAAATTTCATAATGCATCACCTGAAGTTTTCTTCTGAACCTGTGATGTTGCTGTGTTTTCTTTCTCCTTTGGGATTCTCTGTTGTTGCCCTTGGTTATCTCTGCCTCAGGGAATTACTCTACCCTCTCATACTACTAGTTAGCTGAGGTTGATTCAAAGTGCAGGTTTCCCTAATGTTCTGCAGTTTAGCCTTTTTTCAGGCACCTGACACTGGAAACTTCCTTAGAAAAACTTCTGCATACCTAAAGAATGGCTCTCAATTGCAAATGGTACTTCTCCCTGCTATTGGACTTCTGCTTTGAAAATTGAATTCACATCTCACTCCCAAGTACGTCCTTTGTCAGTTGTTAGGTCTAGGGCTAGATGTCTGTAGAGTAGGATATATGCATGCACATATATTTTAAAGGACATGCCTCTGCTTAAATCAGATCCTTGTTGTCTGATTAGACTAATATTTATAGGTGGTCTTGTTGAAGTAGTGAACCTGCAGCCTTTCCACACTTGGAGTACCACAGCCCTAGATCTGATTGAGAATTGCTGAGTGGAAGTCACTGCGGTCACTGAAAAGTTAAAATTCAGTGTGATTATGTTGCTATGTTTCTGTTTCTGAAGAGAAAGAAGAACTTTTTATTCATCTGCTACTTTCACATTCAGGAACAGTAATGGCAAGTCACCTTGCGTAACCTCTTCCATTAAGCTTGTCTGCTTTCTTTTGGCTGTCTTCAGAGAAGAAACTGGATCACAAACTGCGTCCCCTTATCCAGCATTTCAGTCTCTTATTTGAAATGATATCTACAAACTTTAGCTATAATTTCAGACATTAACTATTCCAGCTCTTTTTAATGACAAAGTATCTCAATTTTCCCTCTTCTATCTTTCTGAACAAAACAGACAGATCTGTATGAAGAGTGAAATGTCTTTGAGAGCCATGGCCTACAATGGAGATATGAGAAATTACATTTATCCTCAAATTGATATTAACAAGATACCTGGAATCTGCAATTCTTATCCTGTTGGACGGCTTTCAGTATCTCAGAAGTAACACCTCCCCACACATACATCCTAACAAAAATAAATCTGGAAAGTAAATATCTTTTTAAAGGGGTTATAATGAAACAAGAGACTCTGGGCTGGAAAAACGGCACCATGTCAGTCAAGAGTTAGGAAGTAATAGCTGGGTGTGTTTGCTATCAATCTGTTGGAATAAGTCTTTGGTAAAGATTTCAGATGAAAACACTAGATTGTTCTAGTTACAAAGTACACGGACAAAATTAATTATCTGTTATGCAGTACAGTAGAAATAAAAGTTACTAGTTTGTAGCAGACAGTAGAAGGTTTTTGTTTGTTTGTTTTGAAAATTGTTGTTGCCTGAAGATAATCTGCACTTTGTTTGATAAATCAGCCTTCCGACAGAGAATGGTGTGATGTTGGAAGTTACCAGATACACTTGCTTTTTCCATGCTGAGACAAATTTACTCAAACAGAATGACTAAACCATTACAATCAGCTGTTCTAAAATTCAATACAAGCTGACAGCAAGATTCCTATGTTTAGATTTTATGGTCTGTCTAAATCAGAAACTACCTTCCCATGAAGAAATGCAATGATTATTTAAGGACTTACAGGACTAATTCTCCGTTTAAGTTTCTAAAAGTTGTTCCAGTGTCCCAACTGGTAAAAGTATCTACCTGACTCCTAATTGACACTTGCCAAATTTCAATATTTCATTATTGAATTTTCTTACACAGCTGCCTAGTGCATTAAAGCATTTCCTGTTGTTAGGACTCTGATTTTTTCAGTGTGCACTGAAGTAGGACAGCTTCATTCAACCTTCAGTCTTTGTTCAGCTTTTATTCTAGGATTTGCTATTTTTGTTTTGAAACTGAGGCAGAATATTACTCTCTGCTAGAGAGGGAATTAATCTGTAGATTACATCTTATGGTACTCAGTGTTCAAATCACACCTCTTCTTGAATAAATCAAGATCTCTTCTTGGAGAGTATCTCAACCATTAGGCCCTTTAGTGTAGTTCTCAGCATTTGTGTTGTGATGTCTTCTTTTTTACACAAAAAAATAGAAATTCACGGGAAGTTAGAAGACACATGGCCTATCCCAAGAGCTAGATGTTCCTGCTCTTCCCCACGCCACCACTCTGCTCTTCCCTGAGAGCTCCCTTCTCAGTGTTTTATACTTCCACATATTTTTGTCTTCTTGAGAACAAGCTGTCTGGCAGAAATCTCTTTTCCTCCTTCTGTTATGTTTTCCTTCTCCTTTCTCCTCTCTTGTTAAATCTCTACTTCACCAGATGATTAAATAAGATTCTTCTTTGGCACTCTTGACTCTAGTTACCAGCGGACTCTCTTCACTACACTTTGTCCAAGAACAAATGGACAAAATATGATTGCTGTTTTCTGATTCGCTTTATTATTTTATTTTTAATTCTGTCATCATTCCTTTCCCAAAGGCAGGTGCTTTTTCCCGACTCCTCCCTTTGTACTCTACTTGTCCCTTCCCCTTCCATCTTGGTATGAGATTGTGTTAGAAAGAACATTACCAGCAGAGGTGATCACTCCTCTCTACTCAGCAGAGGTGGGACACATCTGGGCTGCTGGAATCTTCAGTAAAAGAAAGACTCACTGAAGTGAGCACAGCAAAGGTCCAAGAAAATGATGGAGAGACTGGAGCATCTTTTATAGGAGGAAAGGCTGAGAGCTGGAAACGTTCAGCCAGGAGAAAAGAAGGCTCAGAGGAATCTTAGCACTGTGTGTAAGTATTGGAAAAAGGTGAGTAAAGAAGACTAGAGGAGAGCTCTTCTCAGTGTGCTCTGTGTCAGGATGGGAGGTAATGGGCACAAGTTAATCTACAGAAAATTTTACCCGAACAAACACCAAAAAAACCCACATTTTTAATGTTGGAGAGATCAAATACTGTCACAGTTTGCCCAGAGAGGCTGTTGAGTTCCCTCCTTGGAGAAATTCAAAATATAGTTGGACAGTCTCAAGAAACTTCCTTTAGTAACCGCTCTGAGCAGGGGGATTTAAACTAGTTCAGCTCCAAATGATCTCACCTCTCCTATGACTCTGTAAGCTCTTAATTTGTCCATAGCTATTTTCATCTTCTGCATTCCTTTCTTTCCTCATTCCTCATTTTCCACTTGCAACTCATGAACCAAGGAAGAGCTCTGTCATTCTGCAGAGATAATGAAAAAACGCCCAAATTAATTTTAACTGCTACCAACATTATTTCATTTTTTCTATCTTATTTAAAGCAGTTCTGCATTTCTGATATTTCTTACTGGTTTCTGTTCCTGCAGTGGATTGAATCAGTATCTCATATTATTTCTTTTGGGCTAGATCTTGGAGTCAACACTTATTCTTCAGCCTCCTTTCTTGTCAGAAACATTCAGTCCTGGTCCTCTCCAGCTCTGCACATGGAGGCTCTCCTTTCACTGGGTACTTCTGGGTAGCTCTGCAAAGCCATGGATGCCAGCTTTAGTGCATCAGAGATCTGAACCGCTCATTTTTCTCTCTCACCTGTGGAGGAGGACTCCTTACGACCCTCACATTACCTGGAATAAACTATTTTTCTTATCCTAGTCTTAAATGAGCCATCTCAGCAATCCTTGGCAGGAGCTCCGTGGGTACTGGCAATGTTGGTATGGTGAGAACTTCACTGTAGCTGGGACTGTATAGTAAAGCAAGCATGAAGATGAGAGTAAATTCGCTTGAGCCTATACCGTCTCTCATTAAAAGCTTTCCAAATTTCACATCAATGTAGGGATCTTATCTGAACTCTCTCCAGTCTGTTCTAATTTTAAAAAAGACAGTGTTTTCTTTTTTTCTTGCCAACATTAATTCGTTTTTTATTTCACTTACAGCCCACATTCCCCATTCCTAGCTGTTTGATCATTGTACCTAGCTCTTTAATTAAAAGAACGTAAGCCCAGATTCTTCCACAGTCTGGACATCTCTATAAAAGCTATCTTTATTTCTCATTCATTTAGTGCCAACTGCAGCCTTTACCACAAATTTATCTTGCCTTTGTTCCCAACCCATGAATTCACTAAACTAAATTTGGATAGAAAACTATACCAGAAATGTTCCTTTTTGAAAGATCATTCTTGTTTAATATTTTAAAATCTCTCTAATAAATTTTTAATTTGCTTACCTACATTCTGAATTCTGAATAGTCCTTTTTAATGAGAAAATGATATGGCCTTATGCAACTGCTGTGTTAAAAAAAAATCACATCTTGTCAGATTGGAAATCTCACAAAAACTGAATCTGATTTCTGTTTAATGTTTTATCTTTAATTAAGCCATGTTTCTGGCATCAGTTATGCTTCTCACTGTTAATTCTTTATTGAGCACATACATACATTGTGCCCTCCTGAAATTTTGTCTTGGGTAAGCATTGAATTGACAGAGCTATACTTACATTTTCAGCACATTCTCCATTTGAAATATTGAAGTATTTGTTTCCTGTCTTCTCTGTTCAATCTTCTGAACAGTCACCATATCTCAGAGGACATAGTATCCTGCTTTGAAAATAGCAGTTTAACAATCTCATCAGTCAATACTTCTGCAGCTGAATGTTCCAAGTT